ATACAACACAGCCACAGAAAGCGTAAACTGCCCTTGTACTAGTGTTACCTATTGGAGCAAATACCAAAGAAAAGTTTACAGGGGTATTCTATAAAACCTGATGTAATTTCCAAACGAACAAGGCACTTCACTCCCATTAAAGGAATTACAAAGTCAAAGATGGACTGGAAACCCAGATGTGCAAAGTCCAACCTCATCTTCATCCTGAAGTCCCAACAGTTATTTTCAACAGTGGCTAGAAACCTTGATTTCCTCCTATGAAGGCAAAGCACAAAACTCCCTGTTTTCAGATCTTAAAAGATCTTAAATAATTTGCAACCATCAGCCCATCAATTGGCAGATCTTGACAAACAAACCTTCGCTGCTGCCATTGGCAGGTATCACAAAGTTCATGGTCATCACAGCTCACCTGTCATCCAAGTGATTAACACATCCAGTAAGAATCTAAGAACTTACAGTTTTCTTCTCTAAATGCCAACAAAAAACTCAGAGCACCTCAGTCACAGTCTCCTCTCGGCTGCTGGGGAGATTTATCCTGAAATCTTGAGAGTACGGATACACCAAGTAACACTTCTGACAGCATATGGTCTTTACAGTCCCAAGAGGCCATATTTCTAATAAATCTTGTAATCTGTAGCAAAAAGCTAAAAACAAAAGCATCCTCCTTTTCTCCCATAGAGTCAGCTCCACACCCCCCAAATATGAAATCTGGATTTGCACAGTAGGAGGCAAAGTGGGAGAAGACACAGCAGAGTATTTACAAAAGCTGAACAGCTTCACCTGTAAGAACTGACATCCCCTCACAAGAGCCTGAAAATATATTCCCATTATAACAACGAACACAAATTAATACAGAACTATGGTGTTTTTTTTTCTTTGCATCAAACTAGGCTGAAACCTGTTCAAACAGCAGAGAAGTTATCTATCTAACACTCCAATATACTCTTTAAAAAACATTTTAAAAAAAATAGAACATCTCTGAAATTTTGGTCATTTGTTCCTCAATCAACATCTGAAGAGTAATTCTCAGGTCAGCAAAAGTTTTTCAGAAACAAGACAACCCCTGAAACAGGGGCTGCTTCCAACCATTAGACCCCACCAGGTTCTGCACGCAGCTCAGAGCGCTCGCCAGTCAATGGGCTTCTTTCCAGATTTCTTGAGCAGCTCATTCGTCTTCGAGAAATGCCGACAGCCAAAAAACCCTCTGTTGACGGAGAAAGGCGAGGGATGGACTGTCTGCAGGACGTGGTGGCGTTTCTGTAAAGCATTGGAGGAAACCGCTCGTTAAGATTTGCATGCTTTCAGTTCCCTGGACAAGGCTGGCTGCTTCTGCCCTGACCAAGCAGGTGTGATTTCCTCTCTACACCACCTCAGCCACCAGCCTGAGGACCTAAAGAACTCGCCATGAGGACCAAGACTTTTATCCCACTGAGCAGAGGAGGATGGAATATGTAAAGCAGCAGTAATACCCTGGCCATTTTTCAATTGCTGTAATCTTAACATCAAATTTTATTCACGAGCCTTTTCCTAGAAAAAACAGTGCTGTCCTCAGCTGGACGCTTTTCTGACAACAGAAGGTTACACTTGCTCCACTTTCGTTGCTTAACTCTGGCAAAGGCTAAGCTGGAACAGAACGGCAACTAAATTTGACCGCAGAGTTCAAGCAGGGAGAAAACCCCGATTCTGTAAGGGAAGTGCCCTCTAGTGTCCACCCAAGTGAAGAAAAAAAAATTAGCGAGAGGGAAGAGATGAAGAAGAGCAACCTGTACCCTGTCAATGGAGCTGCCTTTCTTCTGGGCATAGGCTCCCCACAGCATGAAGACGACCCCATGCAAGTTCTTGTTGAGCCAGGACACCACCACGTCCGTGAACTGCTCCCAGCCTCTCTCCTTGTGGGAAGTGGCCTGGTGAGCTCGCACCGTGAGGACAGCGTTGAGTAGGAGCACTCCTAGCAAACAAAGCAGATACGCAGAGGATGAAACAAAAGTCAAGCGTTAACTGCTTTTTCCTGCTACCCCTGAGAAGTGATAAATTAAATTTGCATTCTAAGGCACCTGCAAAGTGACAGGCATTCAGAATTATTTACTCTTTTACAGATGGACTGTTTCCAACCATGGATCTGTCTTCTAGACCAGCTTTTTTATGACCTACAGTGGACACATTACTAGATTGCCTATTAACTCACCTTGCTTGGCCCAGCCAGTTAGATCACCATGACCAGGATGAGTGAAATCCTCAATATCTGTAGATAGTTCTTTGTAAATATTTTCTAAACTGCAAACAAAAACCATCAGAAGTTTTTTAATGTCCATGTTTAAAGATAAGAGCAAACAGCACCACTTACTGCTCTTACACTAGGCAAGAAGGGTATTGATTTTAATCTTATCATTTAAGCTAATAAAACCATTCGTAGAAGCAGGGCAACAAGGACTCCCCTTTGCGTGTCTGGCTGGAAGCATAAGAAGAAGGTCTCAGCACAACTGAAAATGCAAATTTACATCCAGCATGCTCTTCAGGATACCACCAAACTATATAGCATTATCCATATTTTTGCAGTAATGTTTTTTCTAGGCAACACACAACTCAAATTTAAGTAGTCACAACACACTTCGTATCAGTTATCTGGCTCACAGCTGTGAGTAACACAGGACTGCAAATAATTTGTAAACAAAAGGAGTTCTGCAAATTGAGTGCTGTCATACCTGGGGGGAGGTGGAACAGGCTTCTGGACACTGAAACAGAGCCCATGAGCTTGATTAGGTCCATGATATGGATCTTGTCCCAAAATGACAACCTTTACCTGAAAGCAGGCCTTTGTTAGCACTGAATTATAAGTATTATTCCCCAAAAGAGAGGAGAAGGAAACAAAAAAAAAAGCTTATAAGTGAGCTTTATCCTAAAACAAACACACAGGCAGAAAAAAAAACCAGCCAAACAAACCCAAAACACCAAACCCCAGGAACTGAAGTTAAATCACTGACTTCTCATTATAAACAACTTGAAGAACACAGTCCCCACCTAACACTAAGGACTAACATCACCACAGCTTTACTGCTAACATTATGAAGATATTTTGATTGCAGAAGACCAACATTTTCAGAACACCACAATAGAACACCTTGTGAAGGTATTTTCCAAGTAAATTTGCTCACATTTTAGTTTTATGCCACACTCGCTGTGATATTTTTGACACAGCTTATTGGCAATGGGATTACCTTAGACGCTGTCATTTTTTTTAAATTATAGTTCATTAAAGATCAATTAAAAAAACGCAGGAAATGTACGAGATCAAAAAATCAAGCGCTATATTAAGTTGGCAGCGCTGGAAATACTGTCAAAAGTCCAACTAAAGCTTTAAAGGAAATTCTGTGGCCAGTGAGTGTAATAAAACAATAAAACCGCATTTCAGTACGAGAGATGAGAGGTGCCAGGATTGCCAAATTACACAAGAGAAACAACAGCAGCATCTGCCCTCCATGGGATCGATGCTTCGGAGATGAAGGCCTGTGTGCATCCCACCCCGCGTTTTCGTCATTTTAAAGGCACCAGCAGCTGCAGAGACCTCCCCCAACCCTCCCCAAGCACCTGCAAGCTCTACTCACATCCCTGATGTCGCACATCTGCGTCCAGGTGAAGACTTGGTCAGGGGGTGGATAGACCGTGTAGCGTTTCCTCTCTTCTGCTACGAACGCCATCAGCTGCGGGGGGGGGGGGAAAAGGAAGAAGTTCAGCCCGGGGAGCAGTGGCTGAGCAGCCCCGCCGTTCAGGACAGACCCGCCTCACTCACCTCCATGAAGTACGGCTTCGAGAACTCCCCGGCCAGCTGCCGCCGCCAGCTCTCCCCGAAGCCCACGGGCACGTTCCTCTCGGCCAGCCGCTGCAACGCCGCCTCCTTGTTCTTACGGATCCGCTCCACCTGTTCCGGGCTCAGCGGCGAGGCCTGGCCCGCCTCATCTCCCGCCGCCTTCGCTTTCTTCGCGGCGCTGACCTGGAAATGGCAAGCCGAGAGGCGGCTGCAGAGCGGGCGGGGGACGCCGCGGCCCAGCCACGGGCCGAGCAACCGGAGCCGAGCGGCCGCCACGGCCACGGCCCCGGCCGCGCCCCACGCGGGTATTTCGCGGCAAAACAACAGCGGGCCCCTCCCTATCGGCCGCCGAGCCAAGCGGGACCCGCCCACAAGCAGTTAGCCCAAACTCCCGCTCTCTATTGGTCAACGGGAAAAGGCCCGCTCCTCCCTATTGGCCTGCCACAGCCGGCGGAGAGGCTCTCTGCCTAGCAACCTTGACGAAACGGCGGCCCTCAGCGCCCATTGGACGGCGGCGGAGCGTGGCCTCGATTGGCAGGTCAGCCAGGCGTGCTAAGAGCGCGGGGTTTTTGGAAGTGGCCGCGCGGCGCATGGTCTCCCAATTCCCCCCCCCCCGCCAACGGCCGCCAGGGTCGCGCGCCCCAACGGCCACCTACGCTGCGAGACCCCCCTCCACAGCCGCCGCCCTCCCGACCGCCAAGTCCCCTCTTCCCCCCTCCAGGACCGCTGGTCCCCCAGCTCCCCGCTCGCTACCTCAGCATCGCCGCCCGGCTCCGGCGAGCGGCCGCGCTTCTTTACCGGCGCGGCGCTGAAGAAGGAGTGCAACGTCTTCTGCCCGATCATGGCGGCGGAGCGGGCGAGGGGCAGCGGTGAGGGGCGGCAGCGGCACCCGCGCGAACTGGTGGGTAGGTGGGTGGGCGGGCGGGACGGGGGTTTCGCGCCAAGAGCGCGCGCGTGCGCGGGGCGGGGCCGGAGGAAGGGGGGCGGGGGGCCAATAGCCCTCCCTGGCGCATGCGCGTCCGCCCCGCGCTCCCCCCCCGCCCTCCGCGGCCGCTGGGGGACCCGGGGATTAGCACCGTCGCCGGGCTCCTTCAGGGAGGGTGGTTCTCGTTACCGCCCGGTCTCGCTGCCGGGAGGAGGCGACGGGCGCCCCCCACAGCTCCCCGCCGCTGTCGGTGCCTCCGAGCGGGGGCCGATGGACAAATACGTGGTTAAACGGCCTCCCGGGGAGACGGGGGGCGGCGGGAAGAGGCCGCGGGCGGAGGAGCCCGCCTCAGGGCAGTCCCCCTGGCAGGAGATCCGCGCGGAGGGCCTGAGCTGCGACTACCGGCTCCTCTTCGGCAAGGCTGAGGCTGACGAGATCTTCCAGCAGCTGGAAGAGGAGGTGGAGTACTTCGAAGGTAACGGCCGTCCGGGGAGCCGGTTTCAGCTCCGGGTGCCACGGACGCCCCCCGTGCCCCTGCCCGGTGAGGCGTTTCCCTGCCCGGCCGGCCCAAGGCGAGTCCCAGAATGATTCCCGTGGCCTGGGCAGAGGTGGCAGCCAGGTGGTGGAGAGGTTTCTGCAGGCGCCGGACGTTTGCAAAATCTGGCCCAGAGAAGCAAAGAACAAGCACAGGTCTGATCCTGCAGGGTTAGTTTTGCTTAGCTTGAAGCATGTGTCAAGTGGTTTCATTCACGTTTTAAGAGAAGAACTGGGGTAATCCTGGAATGGTGACAGGGGTTTGTTGGTAGATGTAGTATACGAGATATCCCCGGTCACATTAATTCAACAACAGAGTACGATGGGGGTGCTAGTCCTGTTCATCACATTCAAGGGGGATAGTAAAGCCGCGTCAGACTTGAGAGTTAAGTACTGTGTTGAGACAGAAACACTTGAACAACTTTTTGGTTGTCATCAGCATCGTCGTTTCTGTTGTCCCACTGGAGCTTCTGTGAAGCTCCAAATCGAGATTGTTCAAACTGTGAACTGCAGAGGTAATACAGAGTTGGTTTTGATCCTTCTCATCTCTTGTTTGAACAGGTGACATGACGAAATTGCACGTGTTTGGCAAATGGCATGACATTCCAAGGAAGCAGGTAACCTACGGAGACCCTGAGTTAACATACACTTACTCGGGCGTTACCTTTTCTCCAAAGCCATGGATCCCAGTTCTTAATCGTATCAGAGACCGCATCACTTTGGACACAGGACATACTTTTAATTTTGTTCTCATTAACAGGTATGTCTGATTTCCAATTGCATCAAGCAGCTTGTTCAAATGAAAAATTGCTTGCACAACTCTGTTGACAGATCGCTGACAAGTTGTTTACATTCATTTAACTAGATTGGTAGAAGAACTAATTAATCTATTTTGTGTACAGATACAAAGATGGTGGGGACCACATAGGTGAACATCGAGATGATGAGAGAGAACTGGTTCCACGCAGTCCTATTGCGTCTGTGTCCTTTGGGGCTTGCAGGGACTTTGTTTTCAGGCACTGTGATTCCAGAGGGAAAAATGCAACGCGCCACATTAAGCCCATCAAACTGCAGCTAGCCCATGGTAGCCTGCTGATGATGAAGTACCCCACCAATGTGTATTGGTACCACAGCCTGCCCACCCGCAAGAGAGTACTTGCCCCAAGAATCAACCTCACATTTCGGAAAGTGATGACTATAGCCAAGAAGTGAAATACTCAGCAATCAAGCACCAGGTCTTTTGACTCTGAAAATAGAAGCTTTCTTCCCCAACGTAACAGTCAATTTCTCATTCAAACACTGTCTTTGATGATCCAAGGTACAAGATGAACAAATTAAACCAGGAGAGGAGATAGCATACTTGGTAACTTGCTAATAAAGACTGCGACTACTGATCTTAAATACCAAGAATACTTTTTCTCCGCGACATGTTGCTGTAGTCCTGCTGATACATACCTTTAATGAGCAATACCCTTGTTTTGCTCGGGATGAAGTTTGTTCTCAACTGATCATAATCTAGCTAGTTTTCCAAAAAGATCAAAATACTCTATATCCTTGAGATAGTGGTGAAATTGTTTATAAATACCATAAAGTACAAAATGTAATCATTTGGAGGGAGCCTGGAAGCTGATGCTGTTCAACAGGCGACACTTTCTTGTATGCTCTGTCAATGAGCTATGGTTTGCTTGGTTTTTTAAAAAAATAAAATACAAATAAGACTGACATGAAAAAGAGGAGTGCTAAGAGATTAATATAGTGAGTGCAACATGGCTGGCTGCATGTTTTACAGTCTCTATGACTTTTGTCTGCATATGTTTTTCTGGTGCTCTACCTCCTCTGCTGACATGGGAGACTGGGTTCTTTCAGTCAGTAGTGTGGTGGGGCAGGAGGAAGCACGAGGTGCTACTGCACAGGGAGAGGGCCTCTTCTTCCTTGGGTCCTTTGTACAGAAACCAGGAAGCATAAGATGACCTTTTGGGGAAAGACTAGGTTGGACCATTTATATGGACAACACAGCATGACAGGCTATAACTTCTGAGAGTGTCTGTTTTTCTAAATAATTATTCCTAGGGATTCCATTCTGGCTACCTGAAAGCCATCACCTTCCATGCTGACAGTTAATCCTGCCGAAATGAGGAAAGACCATCCAAAGCCACGAACAGGTCTTGCAGAATCAAGCGATGGTAAGTACTGAGTGAGAATGTGAACTGATCCTTGTGTAACCAGGCTACAAGCATCTGAATTAGTGATGGGCTCTATCCTTCAGCGGTAGGTCCGTTAGGGCTATGGAATTAACGTCTGTTTAGACAATTTGGAGTTGGTACTTCCCACCCCCTGCCACTACCAGAAAATGAAGTATGAAGAGCTCCTGCATGAATGCTTCTCATCCAGAGACTGTGAGGTGCTGCTTCTATCAAATATATCAAATGCGGTTTGGCTTATAGCTTGGTCTTTGTTTCAAGACACTACCACATGTGAACAGCTACTTTTTCTAATAAGTTTGTTCTTTTATTGCTACTGTACAGTTACAAAAATACCCTGAAGTGAAAATGCAACTTCAAACAGCAGTGCAGTGGTTTGACTATAATATCATACATTTTTAAATAATGCACAAAATAAGACAAGAATAATCCAAACACAGAGATGTCATCTTGGAGGTCTTATCTGATGTTTTTTAACCTTTTACGTTTTATTAACACCTTCACCATGGAAGCTTGCGACTAACAAGCAACAGCATTTGATGAGCCTCATGTGCCTGCACAGAGCCCAGTGACTTCAAAAGGTGAGGGTTGGGTGGCAAACTTCTACAGAGCTCTTTGCTCTCAGTAGGCTGGGAGTATCTAGCACAGCTCAGGACCCGGGACCAAGGTGCTGATACTTGTTCCTTTCCTCATACTGAGGGCTAAGCCAAGACCATCTACTCCTTCCCAACAGTGAAAGCTAGAACAAATGCTGACTACTCAACCCTCATCTTTATAGCCCTTGAGGAAGCTTTCAGAGTAAATCTGCAGCTGAGTGAAACTGAGCACTTTATCAGTGTCATACAGCGACTGTGCTTTCATTCTCATCAAACTGGCCCCTGTTGGAAAGCAGCTCTATGCAAAAGAAAAATATATTGAACATGCAAGCTTGCAGTAATGTGGCTTCATGGCCCTGTTACAAGATGATGAGTTTAAGACTTAGTCCATTGTGTATGTATGTTCTGATCCACCTCCAGCATTACTGCTTTCTAAACAAAGTGACCTGTTCAGATGAACTTCTCAAAAATTCAGTTAAAAACTCTAAACAGACCCTGTTGAGAATAGGTATTGCAGAATATACACTGCTGGCAGTGGAAATGTTTTGAAGTTCTGAGGTACAAATGGTAGACCTGCTGGAGCTAGAGGCTTTGCATGATGTTTTTCCTTAGGTGACACCCACCACTGCTTTACAGAGCTCCTACTGCACACCTGTGCTGCCCAGAATGGAGGGCTTTCACCTTCTGCAAGTCAGTTAGGTCTTAGTTCAACGGCCAGGGCATTTTTGGCATTTTGCACCCTTCTAGGTTTTTTTTTTGTTTGGGGGGGGGGGTGTCTTGTTTTCCCATAACTTAAAATAGAAAGGTTAAAACCATGCTACTGCTAGCCTAGCACAGACAAGGAGACTTCTCAGGAACTAGTATGTCTGTGGATTTATAAAGACTATTTTATGCACTATGAGCATTACTTGGAGCAGGAATTGTGATCCATACTCTGGAATGATGAGTTGTGTAAATAGTTTTGCATATACATCCATTACCACTCTTATTTTGGCTGGTTTTGAGCCTCCCGTTTTGAGCCTCTGAATGCCTATGAGCTTTGCACAGCAATATGAATGTATGAGGTACAAAGTTGCCCTAAAAAAAACCTATTAAGACAGTTGTTACCATTTGAAAACTTAGTTGCTGTTTACACTGAAAAAGCTTGTCTGATGAATTAGTCTTTTTCTCCTCCAAGCTTACAAGGATAGAAAAGAGCTAAAAATAGCCTACATACTTTATTCCTGGTAATTTAAAAGTAGTCAGAAGGATAATTTTTGCTGCTTCCACCTCCGTGCTTTGGGATTATTTTTTTTGGACACATCAAACAATCTAGAGCAGCAAAGCACACCTTACTTCTGTTTATGTGGCAATCTGTGTATCTAATGCAGTGACACCAGTCTTTTCAGACTGCTGTACTACTTCACAAGACAAGTAAGTGCCCACCAGTCCTAATTCAATTGTTTATGCTCTAACTTGACAAGGATGTTTGGGTTGCTATACATCTCAGCTAACAATCACAACCGGTACAAGCTCTAAAGCTCAATTGCAAGCCAGACAGCATGTATCTGAATGGTTGATGAGAAATGGCAGTTTTCAGCATTAAAATAGGAAGGGCAAGTCTAGAACACCAATTACAGTAGCTTTGAAATCACAGCATTAAAAGTTGTAGTTGATGCTACAAGCAAGTGTATTCAACAGTTCCATAGTGACAAAGGAAATGACAATACTGATTGCTAGCAAACACTTCTGTCTCTTGATTTCAGCTACATTCCAGAGATAGAGAGCAATATACCAGGGTCTTGGCTCTTAATAGATAAAAAGATTGTCTTTTCTCCTGGAAAAGGGAAACTGCATTTTGAATCAGCAGAAGTACTTCTATGATGTATAAAAAAATAAAATATTGGGAAAATTACACAAACAGGGAAGTTGTTTTTTGGATCGTGCATGCTATGTAGAGATGCCTTACTTTATTGATTAGCTGGGCTATCAAGAGAAACCTGACTCCATTAGTAGTTCATTCCATCATCTTGAGACATTTATCAGAACGCAACTGACATGCAGTGGACTCAGACAATGGTAATGTCGCTATTCAAATAAGCTCAAGGCACTTTTGTTTCTTAAATCATTGCCTTTGATAACAGTAGCTTCCCATCAACTGCTTTTGGGGCTCCTGTGTTCAGAAATATCTGCAGTGAAATGTATGGGATTAAGCATCTCCCTTTGAAAATTTACAGCCGTGTCAGAATATGGAATACAGCCTTGGGAAGTCTGTTTGAATTGTCTGTTTCAGAGCTGTGATGTTGACAAAATTACTACCTAACAGAATAAATGCTTCTCTAATACAGATTTACTTTGGACTGCACAACATTAGCAGACCAACTTTGGGTAGCGTAATTTTGGTACAAAACACAACTCCCAGCAGGAGCCAGCCATTGCCATAAAGGGAGGGGAACGTTAAAGGGCCTGTGGTGGGTCATTTGCATAACAGACAGGAGATGCAATGTAGATCTCATTAGAGGAATTTTGTCAGTTTTCATCCTTCTTCTGCTCTTTTAATCACTCTTCAACCCTTAACTCCAAGCTTTGGTGCTGTACCCTCGAGTGAATGCGCTCATAAAAAAGCAAGTAAGCACTAGAAGAAAGGACTTCCTGCAAACTAGCTTTGCGAACGGTGTCATCAGAAATCCATAGCCACTGACTGCTGACAGAGAGTGGGTTCTTAGGAGAAGGTGGAGAGCGGCGGTAAGTCACAAAGTGTCCAGAATGCATGTCTCCATGATGAACTACAACTGCCATCAGACGGTAAAGGTATACAGGGGAACTGAAGGACAAATGAGAAAAAGGAAAGGGTCAGCAGCCCTTGTGGATCACACATATACCAGAAGCAGCCCCACTTGCTTTGTCTTCAGTTGCAATTTCTTATTAGAGCAAATAGATGTCTCCATAAGAGACACACTGCCTTGCAATTACTTTTCAGTATACCAAGTCTTTGCTGCAGCGCTGCTTTGCTCTGTTATTGAGAAAACGGAACCATTTACTTTACAAGTTTATGCTACAGAGGGCTACTGCCATTTTGTACAGCATAACTGATTGAATTTTGCAACAGCATTTTCCATCAAACCTACCAATGTGCCAGTATTTTAAAGCACTGCTAATGGACAGAAAAGCTATTCTGGAAGAATGTGCTTTCAACTGAAAAGAGGTAAAATTGCAGCAGGTAACCCACAAATAACGATGGATCAAGGATTTGCTCTGCAACTGTCTTCATAACAAGCATTTGGCACAAAATGGTTCCAGGCTTGTTATTTCACACAGTGATTGTGGGAATTGTCTTCCCCATGGGGCAAATATGCAATGGCAGATAGAAGTGGTACAGAACTAACTATACATTTGTCACCAGCATGAAAATAAGTGAGCTTTCTCAAAGGCCAAG